GGTCATTCTATGATTCTATGATTCTATACCTAGCTGTTTATGAATTTGAAAATGTGCCATGACCTTGGCAAACCTCTGAATTACTTCCATAGACTGTACACACATGCTTGGAACACTCCCCTTCCCCAACAATGAACAAGAACAGTTTTCAAGAGATGGGAAACAGCAAAGTGCTGCAAAAATATACACAATGTCAAATATCCAGATTAGTCACTCATTATCCCTGTACTTGCAGACAGCTAGTTCAATTTATAATTAAATCCCAGAATCCTTTTTAATAAAGGAGCTGCCTTAAATGGAGGTAAGATTTAATTGACTTAGGTTAATATTAGCATTCATTTCTCATTACTTATGTAACTGTTTCAGCTTTATAATCATCAGTGTTATAGTGTGGGAAAAACATGGCTATATGGAAACATTTGAAATAACAAAAGACTATCACGTCCCATTCATTAATGTTGTCAGTTTGTTTCTATTTTCAACGACACTACTCCTTCACAAATCTGTGTCAACCCCCTTTCCCCACCTCCATTTATAACCAACCACATCACTCTCATTACTACTAACCAGGGTAAAAGTTCTGAAACAATCATCATTTAGACAGAAAATGACTTTGGACACATTCAGTTGCTCATACTTAGGCCACTGAGTATGCTTAACTGCTCAGAGAAACTTGACCTAGTCTTTCAAAAAAGAAATAGATTGATATCAACATGATAGACCCAAACTGTATTTGCTGTTATTCACATTCTCCCGGATCTTAAGTAACCATCTTAAGCATTCCAGTACTAAAACAATTAGCAAAAAATAAAAGATTATCTATGATAATACCTCTACCACATCCCTTTCCATTATTCACCATTCTAACATCTCACTGTCTGTAGACAATGAGGAAGTAATTGATACAAGCATGATTTGGCAAGGCTGGTACTCAGATTTGAAGGATACTCTTCGCTGTTTCGAATGTCCACCACCAGCAGCTTTGGCTTGCTAGACTTTGTTTTCTTTACAGGAGTTTTGGAATGACTAGGTCCTGTCAACTCACACAAATCAATCAGATCTTCTGCTGAAATTCGTGGCGACACCTCTGCCTTCAGATCATCCAGCTTGATGGAATCCCTAGACTTTAAAAGAAGAAAATTAATATTAGAGGCGACAGAATTAGAGACATGGTGAACATTACCATGTATTACTTTTGAGAATAAGTCTATACATGCAGTCAAAATACAGCTCTAAGAGTATCACAGTAGCAAATTTTCTGCTTTGAAAAAATATTCCATTTCTGTCATCCTGTTTCAGATTGCAGTGATCACACTGAATCAAGACACTATGTGCTTACAGCCCATGAAAAAAAAATTCAAGAGAACAGGAGTAACACACTGAAGGAAATGGAGGCATTACTAATTAGTATTAGCCCAACTGACTGTTTTTAGCTCTAACTTTATTTTTAGTTTCTAAACATACTAGTTGCTCATTTAACTGACTACAGCACTGAAATTGAGAACTGTGTTCACATACAGAGATGAACTCCCTGTCATCACTTAGGAAAGGTAAGAATTATCAGAGATACACACATTTTTACACACATAGGTACACACAAGTCTACACATGCTAAGATACTGAGCTTGCTACTTAAGTTGCTTCACCTGTTTTCCTGCAAAGAAAATAAACTTATTTTAGCATATCCTAACTTCAAGCATGAACCTTACTTTACACTAGTCAGCTATAAGAAGTTGTTCATCAGCAGGCTGGTAACAAGAAAAAGAGTACTTAAACTGAAGTCTGAAGTCTGCTTGCCTCCCAGAAGTTTCTCTGACAACATCCTAAATTCTTTACTTTCAAAGTACTTTTTCTTCTCACCCCATTAATTTTCATTAGGCCTGGGAATTGCTAAGCCACATACATTTACTGTTCTTAATAAGGAAAAAATAGGCATTAAGAATTTAATTTTTTTTTGTTAATATTAGGGATTAAAGCTGCTTAAGCATTCTCAAATTAGAAGTCAAGTTTCAGAAAGATTAAGTACTCCAGAACATAAGGCTGGCACAATCATAGCTCCTATCTACTTTTCTATTAGCCTGTAATCTCTCACAGGCATTTAACTCTGGCTATTCAATGAAGATATAATTTTTTTTTTTTGAGAAAATAAGCAAGTATATTTAATTCTACTGGACCTGAACTTAACAGTCCCATCTGATAAACATAGGAGCCATAAAGCAACTTTTTATCCATGGAAAGGATAGCTTTATCTGAATAGAAGCAGGGTTTCCCCCCTTTTGTCTTTGAAGTTGGCAAAATTTATGGCAGCAAATTTAATACAGAAGGAACTTCAGCCTGAAAGTCAGTATAATTAAAATCTGGGGTTCAAGTAAAATAATCTATTCAAAGTATCAAAGTCCTTAATGAAGAAATACGCTTCATGGAAGATGTAGTTCCATATTTTTGGAACATAATGTTTTGTTTCTGAAATAAACTTTTTTTAGACGCAGACCATCATTTTTTTTATAAAACATGAATTATTAGCAAAGTATGAAATAAAACCCATGAAACCACACTAGGTATTTATACTGGTTGACAAAAAAACTTATTTCCACTACAGTCCTCTGCTCTCAATGAGGGCTGGAGTCAGTGCTAGAACACAAAAAGCAAACAAAATACCAACTGTGTCTTCAGCCAGCTTGCAATTCAGCACAACTACAGCCTGGAATTGTGCTCTGTGCAAGAGCTCGCAAGCTGATCTCCTTGTGCATTTCCCAGAGGAAAATTCTAAAGCATCCTTCACAAAATGTGAACTTTCCATCACATCGTCAGCAACCCAATAAATAATTAGAAGTGAAATTATTAAAACACTGAGGTGTGTAACTGTTTTCTAACATTCTCCATGCATTGGACGAGCATTAAAAAAAAAGAAAAAAAAAGAAAAAATGAGATGTTCAAAAAATAGCTTACTGCTACCACTCTTCAGCGAGACTGAGCAAATTCCTTCTTGCTAGAACTTAGTTATAACGCTTTGCTCCAGCTGTATTTGTAAAAGGAAGCATTTGCACAACACTAAGTTTCCGAGAATGGAACCATACAAGCTCAGGTATCACAGAGATCACCCACCAACAATCAGTGACGAAAACTTGCATCAATCAACACAGATGGAAAAAGCACAGGTGAAAAACACAGTGCCATATCATTCTGCTATACAGTGGCTACTGTTTATGATTTTTTAAAGTTTATTTTACCCAGTAATATGGCAAAAACTGAAAAAAAAATTAGTAATATGAAACTCCTAATATTTAATTGATCAAAGGCTATCAAACCCAGAACCTGATTTTAAAACAATTTTCAAATAATAAAAAAACAACCCAAAGAAGAACATTCCCACAAGATGCACAGAGAGGGAACTGGCTAGACTTTTCTTTAAAATTAATTTTACAGGTATAATTACTCCCTCCCCCCAGCACATTTGTTAATCAGTCATGGAATCCCAATTGTGGGAGGTCAAAAAGGTTAAATACACCCAGCTTGCAACTTCAAAGTGAGTATAATCACAAAGGCTTGTGAGGAAGGACTAGATGGACAACCAGTGGATCCAGAACCTGAGCCTAAGGCTGCAGGAAGAGTGCTCTGGCTGCTCCCACGGCCCCATTTACAACCACAGCAAACACGGCCCAGGGAGATTTGGAAACCAAGTCTATAGAAAATATGTTTACAGTCCTTAAATATGATCTGAGTGTCTAATAGACAAAGTCTCATCTAAATAATATTTAGGTTATTATAAATGTATTACTTCAATTCTGCCTCAACTAGGAAAAAGCACAACACATTTTTTCCAATGAGTTCACATTCAATTAAAATAACTGCTACTTATATTACAACTTAAAAAACAACCACAACATTCATTAGAGACTCTTAAATTAACATTTAACATTAGTTATTTCCTAAGCCAAAATATTCCTTATCTACTCCGGTAATTAATTTAATACCTCATCTTCTATCAGAAAAAGTCCTAAAACATAATAAAATACCTTCACATTTTTAAAACCAAACAGAGTAAAGAAAGTGTTAAAGGCTTCACTCAGCTAATTTAATCTGCAGAACCAAAGCCCTGGAAGCAGAAGTCTCCCTACATTGCCCATGTTTTGGTTGCTGTCTGCCTGACTTACAAGTATCAAAAAAACTTTGAAAAGCTAAGAAATGCACAGAGAAAGTTCAGAAGTTTCAACAACTTCTAAAATATTTGCCAGAATGTGATGAGCTTAGACATGCCTAATTAAATAGTGAACTGCTTATCCACTCACAGGAGAGTGACACATAAAAAGTTCATTTTAAGCAACCCGTCTCAAAAATTACACACAAACCCCACTTCTTACTCAAGTTGTTGGCAGCTACAATCAGGAAGACAGCAGCATCAAAGGCACATGCAAAATAAATCAGAGACATTAACTCAGATCTTGATCAGTTAATGCTTTGCACAACATGAACTAAAGACAAATTTGAGGAACAGCTTTCTGTTGTGTAGTAGAACAATGAAAGAAAACAAAAACAAGTTCCCTACAAAACCAGAACACAAACTTGAAATGGGTCAAGGCAGTCAGAAGACCCTTGAGGCAGAATATATATTTAACAGCTGTTGCAAATAGCATGGATATTGCACCATTGCACTGGACATTTCCTAGCTTGTACCCTGAAACAGAAATATTGGTATAGCCTACTCATCATGCTTCTTTTAGAAGAACAGATGGACTTTGCACACCAGTTACTCAAGGGTATAAACCTAGCCAATATATCCTATATGGATAAATATAGCCTAGGTGCACAGAGGAAATTAGAAGCAACTGAGCACTCATGTAATTATTGCAAATAGGTCTGAATTCCCATCTGTAAGAAGTCTGCCACGCAAGCTATCCTTGGTTATCTGCAAAGAAAAGTTACCATCAGGAAGCTTTGGTCATACTATTTTTGACAAAACCAAACATTGGTCATGTTCATACTGTTTTATCAAGCCATTAGGTCACTTTTCCACTTAGGTAGTTCTCCTACTCCATCAAAAACAAAAAGCTGAACTGGACCAGTGGCATTTAAAGCAGTGCAAGGATCAATAACCATCTGGTAGACTTTCCTCCAGTTGCATGCTTTCATTCCTCAACATTCATCAGGAACTCCCACCCTTGAAAAGAGGATGGGCAGTAGAATACCAAGATGAAGGCACAATTGTATCAGCCTTGGGATTTCTGGGAGTCCACCTGCCACACCCGAGCGGACACTCATAAAGACGCTGCATCATTCTCTCACTTTTATTTAGAAGTATACAGGTAGCCGTAAAGAGCATACACCTACCATGTCTAGAATAAAGGAGACACGGGCATAACAGAGAATTGTTACACGACAAGTGTTATTTGTCTCTGTGACTCCTAGACATTGAAGGAAAACACTTTGTGAGTTTCCAGAGTATGAAGGTAAGTTTCAAAAAGAGTAAGAAAAAAAAAAAATCAGCATACTGGTCAAGAAAAAATTACAGACACAAATGTCAGTAGACTGCTAGTAAAATTCAGTAGTGAATTTAAAGATTGTTTACATCCATTTTACCTTTCTCAAAATAAACATGCAAAAACACTTAAGATGTACATCCATTCTTTCTGAAACTATTTCCTCCTTGAGATTTTATCTCAGTAGAAATATGCTTTCTGGATGAAAGGGTAAAAGATTAAGCAACACACCAAGTCCAGGAGGGAAGAGAGCACCCAAGCTTATTTATGAAGTTGCAAATAGATGCCACTAAAATGAAAACTAAGCAATGCTGGTGATGAAAAAGTCAAAACAGTTTTGTTTTACTGGCTGGTGATTTAGGAAGAAAATTGTTAACCCAGGGGCAAATGCTTCTCATTATATTATTAACCAAAGCATTGTAATATGCAGATACACACAAATATTTGAGTAGCCAATAAAAAGCACTAAGGAAACAAACTGAAGCAGCATAGAAGGAAAATGCAAATATAGGAGTAGGAGAAAGCTGGTGCTTAGAATTAAATACACTAAACAACATTTCAAGAAGTCATAAATTTCCTTCAGAAGTAAACCCACTGCCTTGTTTACAAAGGTATTGTTTCCTACCTTCCCCACCCTCAGATACAGGGGTGAGCAACAAATATAAAACTGGAGATAGTAACGTAGTGCAAGTGCTTGTCTAAATAATGACCCACTAAATGGGGGAGGAAACAGCGAAGTAACTTTTTAAGAGTTAGACTGACCAGCAAGGACACAATGCTGTTTTAGAAAATCCACTAAAGGCTACTGCGTGTTCTAAAGATTGAACTCTGACTCCACTGCTTTCAAGGAGAAAAAAGTTTCCCCATGGCAGTAAACAACAGTAGAGTATGTCTGACGAAAGAGAGACAGTTCCAGGATTAAGGTTAAAAGAAAACCCCAAAACAAAAAAACAAACCCACATCACCTTTGGGCATAAATAGTGTATTTCACTAATAATTTCAAATTTTATACGCAATGTTGCTCAAACCCCTGAGAAGTGTTATCTTCTAAAGACAAAAATCCAGAAATGCTGAACTGATCCCAAGTCAGAGGCAGCTCATTAGTGGCTCAAGTTACATGGGATTTTCACAGTCTGAACTGGGGTATTTGACAAGAGAAACAACTATGCGATTTTACTGAGAGAGAAGGGAAAAATTTTTTTGCTACACTGTGTATCTATTTAATGTAGATAGACTCAGCCACTATTTATTCTTTGCCAAGACAAACTCAGGCATAACTCGCATACTACCTCTCAAAACAACTGGAGCCGTACCTTTAACCTGAGATGCCAAGATGGAAAAAGCAGCCAGGGCTGCCTGCATCCCTTTCCAGTTACCTATTTCTCACTGTCAGTCTATTCTTTTTATTATTTTTCCCCTACGTTAAAGGCTGTTTGTAGTTCTGCAGGTGAGTTGTGGACATTGGTCTGTTGTGGTAACAAACACTGCAGAACCAAAAGAGCAGGAGTTGGGAGGTGCAGAAATCTGGCAGAAGAAGAAATAATTTTATTGGCATATACACCAAAGAAGCTGAAGTTCAAAGCAGTTAAGTTAAAAAAAAACCCAAACCCAAAATCTTTTGTTCATTCTCATTCACTGCATTAGATTATTCATCAAAATTAACATAGGCTCTAACACTATAATAGCTGACAAGCACGTCAGAACATCTGATGAATGTGTCCCTGTGCTTGGAAGCAACAACAGAAATGCCAGTAAGTGAGGTCTGATGGTAATTTTCTTCCTGCTTAAATTTTGAAGACAAAAAAAACCACCTGGGGCCGTAGAAACACACAATCTGAACAATTGTCCCCTCTCCAGTTCCCAGGGCACTTACTAGGTCACTTTGAGGTGCTTCCTGATAATCTGTTGAAAAGCAGGACATGGAACTTCTTGTGCCGTTGCTCTCACTGGCTTGCCGTGGAGGCTGTGCATACTGCCTGTACGTAGCACTCTTCGGGGTCCAGCGAAACAGGTTGATTGACTCACGAACACAACGCTCAATGTCAATCTCTGATCAGGGATTTAAAGAAAAAAAACAAGAAATGCAAGCATGAAAAAAAATCAGTAAAGCCAATTAACCTGGCTATGACATTGCTAAACATACATATATCCATCTATACCTCCATCTCTCTCCCCTTCTTGGGTCTCTCCCAAGCATCTTGGATGATTTATTACAGCACTCACAATTTAGAAGACCAAAGCATCAGCTTCTATGACAAAAATCGAGGAAGTGAAGCCAAGCTTTATCTATGTATCTCAAAGAGATCTGATGCATTGCCATCAATCATTCATTGCCACCAACAGATTTGATGCATTGCCATCAATCAGGGAGTTACTCTAGAAACCTCAGTAATTTGCAGGGTGGTGAGCGAAAGAAGCTGAAATTGATGGATGAGATTATTCACTTTGTTTAAAATCCGAGTGCATGATGTGATCTACTAATTTTCCATTCAAAAAGCTCTCCCTATTCAGGTAGGATACAACCTGCAACATATGTTTTAATTCCATTGAAGACAACATGCTTATGTGCTATCTTGCTTCTGAAACTCTGAAGAATCTTTGACTAAAGCTGTGGTTTATGTAATTTTAATTCTAGCTCTAAAACCTTTTTGTGGATGTGAAAATAAATCACAAATTTTCCTTAACCGCATCAGGTTTCCTAGCTATTTGGGATAATACTTGTCAAAGATAAATGGACAAAGTGGTGTCTCAACAGTAAATAACAATTTTTCATTCTGTGATGAAAACATTAGATTTTTCACTTTGAATATATTGCAATGGAAGGTTGTTATTTAGTACAATTCCCAAGGAGAATCCATGCAACTAGAAAATTTTACACAATTTCTAAATTCAGGTAAAGACAGCAGATGCCTTTCACTGGTTATTATTCCCATGGCTCAGACACTCTGAAGCATGGTCATTACAGCTGCCCTTTCTCTGCATTTCTAAAGACTCATTTGATTCATAAAAAGCAGATAATTTCAGTTCAAGACTGTAGTACATTTATGTTTTGGGTTGGTTTTTTTGTTTTTTGTTTTTTTTTGGTTTTTTTTTTTTTTCTGTAAAGAGATTGCTATAACTGTGAGTTACAGCCCTGTCTCCCTAGATTCTCAGCTAAGGAAACAGCAGTACTTTTGTAATAAGTGAGCTGAAAGCAGAATTTACCCAGTAAAAAAAATAATCTGAACAACAATAATTAATAGCACGAGAAACATTCAGTTGCAAGAGGGATTAATAGCCTACAAATATCTGAAATTGAAAACAGAGAACTGGGGGATGGAATAGGAATGCTATGTGCAGCAGAAAGTTATGAAAAAGCTGAAAGCAGAAACTGAGATTGACAGAGTTAAGCAGTGAGATAGACTATCAAAATATTTTCCCTAGAAACAAGCTCTGTAATTCCAAAAGGAATCCATTTAGAGAACTGGAAAATGCAGCAATGGGTTTCCCCAAAAATGATAACTAAGTTCTCACACATCAGGATGTAAGTAAAAAAATTATGACTCTGTTGTTCTATGATTCTTGTCTGTTTGGTTTCTCATTTCTTCTAAGCAGCATTTCAGAAGGATAGTGGCCATGCCTGAAAATGAAATTCCACGGAACAAAAGGGAATTTTAAATGGTTTCGGAGGGAGGCCATCAAAAGTCTAACACCAATTTACAATCTGCTGATTAATTGATCTGCTTCTAAGAAATGTAAAATAAAAATATAATAAGGAGATTGTGGTTTCCACAAATAATAATAATAAAAAGATGTATGCACATAGGCACATGTATGTATATATATATAGGAATGGTCAATATTTATCACTCTCAAGGGAGTCAAGGCAGTGAAAGAATTTACTCGCATTCTTTTTTTACAAACAATTAGCTTCTGGATACTGGCATTTAAGACTACATTAAACTGGTGTAAATATTTACAGAATATTTATTGGTCACATTGCACGAACAAGCTTCACACTTGAGTAACCTTCAAGCCCATCTTCATCCTTTGTTTGAAATTTCGGTTTAAGAAAAGTCACTTCCCGTCAGTAACTAAAATGCGATGCAATCTTTTGCAGCCTTGCTGGATAAGATCTTTTCTCCTCCTTTTGGCTAATAAGTAAGGGTCTGCTGTGCTACTTCAATTCCAATTTCTTCCCATGCCCTTTCAAATGTATGACAAATGAGTCAGTCTCCAATTAGAAGTTCATCTTTTGTTATTGCACCAAGACTTTGCATTCACACAGTATTAATCCTGCTTGTACTCTTCCTGCTCCCGAGTAACTGTGTTACAAGCCAGAAAACATTAAAGCTTACACATACTGCTGGTATGTCAAAAGTGTAAATATATCAAGTCAGTGCTTAGATTCTTGAGCAGGACTATGAACAAATGAACAGAGAGTACACCACCAGGACGCCAGACTACTTGACATGTGCAAACAACTAAGAAGAACATCCTTCTGAGAGCAGGCTCTGGACAAATCCCAAGGCGTCAGCAAGAAGCAAACAGAAACATTTAGAAAGGACACAGAAAGGGTCTGCTTACTCACGGAGATGTACATAGAGCATCTCTGTGCTCTCCAAGGTCCCAACACTGAGGTGTTTTGCAGTTTAAAAAGCATGTGCTTTCTGTTTTTATTCACACAAGTTATTTTGCTGGAAAATCTGTAATGAAAATGTGCTAGCACAATGTGGTGTCATTACCTGTGGCGTGTACGCTGAAAAAAATTAAGCCTAACTTTAAACATAATACTATACAAGTAAGTTCTCATTTCAAAATTTAGCACCTCTTCAAGCAGTTTTGTTTTCAACAAGTGCAGAGCACTGGTATTTCAAAAAGCCAGAGTTGGCACTCAAGTACCTAGGAACTAAAAATCACAAGTTTAATTTTAAAACATAGTTTTTTGGAGTTCTGGCTCAGCTGAGCTCAAGTATTTCACAGTCAAGCAGCAATCAAGCCTTACAGGAAACAATTCTATGGCACCAGCTAATTACTCCATTACTTGGGATCAAAAGACTTTTCTTGAGATTTCTAAGTATGCAAATAATAGGGGAATTGAAAAAAGTGGGATGGGGAAGTAAACAAAAAGTGATCAAACAGTAATATCCTGGTTTTGCCATGGCTCCATCCCAATATTAAGCCTACTGAAATATTTTGCTCCTTTTCTGAACTGAACTTCCTGGTTGCTCTAAGATGTTATTCGTTCTCCTCCGTTGTGCTAAATTTCACTATCAAGCTGCTGCCTCCCTCTGTCAACAGCCTCAACTGAAAAGGATGGCTCAGCCTGCTTTTTAAGCTACACATATTCAGTGTTTATTATTACAAGTATAGCAGAGAAGTAGACTGCACCTGAAACAGAGGTTAAAAAGAAAACATCAGTTTAAAGGCAATACACCTGTGACAAGAGCACATAGAATCTATTTTTTACAGCAAAACAGGATGTGCATATGTTGTTCACAGCAAGTTAAAGAAAGTAATGGAGAAGAACATAACATGAATGGTTCTTTCTCAATGAAAATGTACACAGACCAAGTCTTTGTGTGCAGTTAATCAATTCCAGAGTCTTTTCCTTGGGTAACAAGACACTGCAGTTAAGAAATTTGGCCAAAATAAACTGCTTCTGCATTTTGGAAACAGGCCAGAATTATGGGCTAGGTTTGACCTCTCCATCACAAATACTTCATTACTACCCTGCCAGGCAACGTCAGCTTTCACCACACAGCCGCGTAACAGGCCAGAAAACCTCTGTGCTATAAAAGCAGGGAAGCTCAATAGGTCAGTTTGATCTCATGATTCCTGCTCTCAGAAGAAATAGAGGTGAAAGGTCATACTTTTTCTTTTCTGATGAAAAACAAAAAGATATTCTTTTTTGAGAATTTATTTCATACATTATAGGATACTTATGTTATTTCTTTGTTTTGTGGATAGTAGTTTGCTCTTATTTACACACATCAGCATCCCTTTCAGTGCACCTTGCGATAAAATTTTAAAGGCCACATAAATATCAGTCATTAATTTAAAAATTCTTCAGCTAATCAGAAAAAAGACTTTCTTCTTTCTACATGGATGCAAGGTGCGCATCATTCAAGAGCTGCCAGGAGAACAAGTGCTGCCAATCAAGAAACAATATTTTTTATGTAATACAGAAGTTGCACTCAGCTAGAAAAATAACTGGATGAAGAAGCAAAGGAACGAACTGGAGTCCTGCGTCTTCAGACAAATTGCATGTGGCACAGCTGTAATAAGGATCAATAAACTCGATGCTGTATTGACAGGCCACCTTGTCTGAGAGTACATTACTCTACAATTCTTTCAGTATCTTGGAATGGAAAAATTCTCTAGGCAGTTCCCCACTGTGAATATTGTTTACTACCTCTGGACGATATTGCCATTTTCAGTGTACATGTGACAGTTGTCTTGCTGTTGGAAAGGAAAGGCAACAATTTAAACTATTCTTGAGTCTGAATGCCCACAAGCAGCAGTTAGTGTCTCAAAAATTGAATGGTCCAGGCCCTTGCTTGGTGAAAGCATATCAACCACCTGCATCAGAGTTCAGAAATACTGGGAAAAGGACTTTTGTTTTTATGTAATAAAATCACATGCAGTGTCCAAAGAGCAGAAAATTAACTTGTTGGTCTCCTGTCTTAATCCATAAAGGAGAGGTTTGAGGACTGAGAAATCTGGAATGTACTCAGATAAGGAGTTCTGTAGCAGAGGGTGTTCCGAAGGTAATAATTCAAGCAGAAATGACATGTCTATGTGAGATATTGACACTTCTGCTGAGACCAACAGCAGGTATGTTTGCAGCCTGTGTACGAACAAGAGAAGCTGAGAGAAAAGTTGTGGAAAGTACATACAACCATTACAGTACCTGCAGTTATGCAGACGTCTGGACCAGTTCACGCAACACTCAAAGTAGTGAGCAGCAGAGAGAAGCAGCAGTAAACACTGAGTTATTCCTCGAGACATTAGACTGCATGAAGGACAAGCACGAAATCTCTTCTTACTTGTGACTGTAAAAATCGCTC